TTGCTTAAATAGCGCTATCTACTGCGAGGATCGTGCATCATACGTAAGTTGATAAATTAGCCACCGTAAAGAGTTAAAAGCTGACGTTTCGAGCGTTAGCCCTCCGTCCATGAGCTCTAATGAAGGGCTAACCCTCGAAACGTCAGCTTTTAAACTCTTTATGGTGGTCAATATACATTATCAACTTAGTTGATGAAACCAAATTACCTTAAATTTTAAGACTTACTTGATGCCACTGTGAGTCAGCATTGCGAAGCCACATTTTGGCGTAGGTCCAGTCCAGCTCAGAGTCATTTGGGGTCCAGATCGGGTTGGTCTCGCTTGGCTCTTGATGGAACTGAATTGCTATAGGTACTACGTCACCACTGCCTCTAACATAGAACAAGCCTAAAGATGCAGACGTGTAGCGCCTTTCTAGGTTCATATCGTTCTGGCCATAATGTGGAATGTCATCAAGAATCTCATAATCTACCATGTACACACGGCCATCCTGAAAATATTACAGTGATAAAACGTTTATATAAGCTTCTATATAATCTTTTTCTTTTTTTTTTTTAGGAAGAAAAGAAAGAAAGAAGTTTATTGAAGCTTAATAAGAAAGAAAGCTTAATAAGAAAATTACAAATTACAAATTAATCTAATTAATCTAATTATCATTGATCTAATTTACACTTTCATGTTCATGGAGACCGTTCACGCCCGCAAATAGCAGGAGCTAGTCGAGGCGGGCGAGAATTAGAGGTACAGCAGTGGTGATAGAGTACAAATAAAGCTTAAACATAAATTAATAACATTTCCAGAAAAAGACAGCCACTTAAAACTCGTATATACAACTGCATCACTAAACATAAGACATATAATCAACTCTTGTTGCCGACATTTTGCTCCGAAAGCAATTGCTCATCTCTGGAAAAAGAACAGTTTCTGGTAAATTGCAAGCTGGGTGAAAAATGTTCCTAGAACATCCATTAAAGCATATAATTTAATTTGTTTTCTCTGTTCCGGATTGTCTGAAAAACGTTTCGGACGCCACGAAAATTAAATTTTTCACGACAGGGAAAGACCTTGGTCATAGAACAATTTCCATTTGAGTGTCGAAAGTAATCTGTGATTTCTTTGGTTTTACTTAACCTTACTCTGTGATTGGTCTAGAAGACTCGCACCATCCTTTCAACCAATCAGATGCAAAACTAAAAACAATTGTAACTTGATTACTCACGTCTGATTGGTCGCCGGGATTACTTTGGTTTTCCGATTTTCAACTGAGTATTAATCACAGTGTCAACAATTGAAAACTGCTTGTGCATGTTATCGACGTTTATGGTTTTTTTTCTCCCTCACAGTTCTTGAGTTCTTGACATTTACTAGGAGATTTGGCACTAATGACCAAATTTGTTACTCAGTAAACACTAGAGATCCGCACCTTTATTGCCTTTTTCAGTGTATCACCTTCATCCAGGAGATTGCCAACCAATTCCTGTGTCACGGGAAAGTTGGAGGGAACCTTTGAGCATCGTTTGATCGTGTCGGGATTGCATCCATTCAGGAACTGTGCTCCATAGAAACGGTCATCCTGCCAGCGCTTAGAGGCCAGAGGGACCTCTCCAACAAAAGAGACGAACGCCTGCAAAGTACTGTTTGTTAGCATTTGAAAAGGAGCATATCCAAGATGTGAAATTGTGTTTCTGTAGCATCCCCTACAAGGTTCAACCACCTTACCCAACCCCATAAACCTAAAAAAACAAAACACATACATGATTAGATAAAAGCATCTTAACAAGAACATGCGTTTTTTATAATCACTCTTCTGCATTTTGGATAAATAATGTTGTATTAGCGAATATTATTCCCACCAAAAACATAATGCAGACGCCAGAAGAAAAAAGATTTGAGCTTGCGCTTAAAGAAGTCCATGGAAGTAGCTAATGTCATCATTACCAAAATGGTAATTCTGTTGAAGAGTCAAAGGCTCCTTAGAGCAACCTCATGGTATGAATTTTTGGCGCCCTTGACCTAACTGCGATCTGGCTTTCTTAACTTTGGAAAGATATTTTAATCGTGGGAAACACGTGCTGGCACAATTATTGTGTTTGTAAGCGTTTTGATGGAGAAAAATTGTCTTAAATTGCTAATGTGTGAGGAATTAGTTAAGATACCGGCAGCTACGAGATAAAATCAACGAAGTTTCACGCTTACTAATTTGCAGTGAGCTTAAGCTCACTTCATATTCGCAGTGTTTGGGTCTTCACGCACGAATCGTTCATGTTATCGTCACTTTTAGGACTCAGGCGCCCATTTCTCTGAAATCGAGTATTCTGTAGCATATTTCCTTTCCATTTTTGGCTCCACAAAGGTATGTTTTGATCAAGTTTGGAATAAAAAAAACCATCACGCTTTAAGGGACAGGACGCCATTTTGAATATGTCCAAGTAGTTCGGCATATTCTCACCTTTGTACCCCCCCCAAATATACGTTCACCATGACTTGGAACAGGGAAACTTGTCGGGGAGGGGGAGAAAAAGTGTTTAATCTTACGTCATACCATGAGGTAAAAAAATCAAGATAAAGTTCAGAGCTAGGTCGGTGAGAGCACCCCCTTAGAAAGGAAAAATATTCATCAAAGTGTCGTGTAAAAATTACGTCTCCTTTCAAGGACTTCCAAAAAAAAACTAAATCGAGATATTCTAACCAATAATTTAGCGGAAGTAAATTTAGTTTAATCAGACGATCTTTGTAACACAGATGACTATTTCTACCTACAATAAAACGCGTGGCTCTTCACTGTACCTGCTGCTCGATAAGGATTGACTGATTTATAGCAGACTGAGGGGCCCAAACTTGCGAGCAATAACATAAATGGGAGCGTACTAATCAGCAGTAAAGGCGCAGAAGAGCATTACTATCGACCAGACCCGCGCAATTTCTCTTTAGGAAACCCAACATCCTATTTGCCTTAGCAACAATCGTAACTATGTGCTCCTTCGAAGAGGTGTCCTTGACAATCATAACCCCAAGATCCTTTTCAGATTTAACCACATCCAGGTCAATTCCATGTAAACTGTAAGTACGTGGTTAGCTTACACGTTTCCTAGATATGCGCACATTTTTGCATTTGGCAGGTTGAAAATGCATTTCATTGCGTAAGGACCGTAGTGTTAATTGTTACCTTCTTGTAATCGTGAAAATCTTCCCAAGACTCAAGCATGTTCAGCAATTTGACCAGCCCTAGGTTGATTAACGCTTTTCGCTTGGCCTGGTAAAGATCATCGATTGCTTCTTCTGTAAATCGTACGTCTTTTGGAAGTGTCCTCACGCTCTCGGATTTAATAAATCCTGGAAATCCGTCAAAATTGGGATCATCTCCCCACTGGTAGATTTCTAACCGCTTTTGAACCTCTAAGCGTCGTTGCTTTTTCAGTACCTCATGTTGTTCATCTGTTATCAACTTTGCTGAAAGCACAAAATTACACATCATGAGAGTTAAATTGTCTCACGAGAGAAAAAAAAAAAAGCGGGATGAGTCGAAATCATTGATAGCAATCCGTGCCCGCATAGCTCTTCTTTGGCTTCCTCGTGTGGACTATCTAGCTATTTTGAAACTACAAAAAAGAAAACTACACAAGCTCACCGGTCTAATGGGACACTCAATTAAGTTGTAGTATAGGTTGTAAATGTAAAGTGAAACAAGTGCAATTGCAACACTATCATTGTCGTTACAAAAGTACTTTTATACAACAACTTTCCACTAACAAGGACCCAAAAGACCTTAAGAGGTTTGGTTATTTACCTTTTTCCGCCCAAATTCTTTTAATTCTCACCATAAGCATAGGACCGCTTTAAATTTACTGCTCAATCGTGTGACACTTATGCAGAAGAAAGTACTGTTTTACCTACCTTTCCCTTCAAAGAAAACTGCCTCTTGTTGTACCCATCCGTAGCAAGGAAATTCGTAAACTGTTTGATTGTTTGAGCTGCAACTGATCTCAACCTTGTCAACGAACCAATCACTGGAGCGGTGGAACCCGACACCCTCGTTATTCTCCAGTTTTATGATCAGAGGCTCGCCAACATCCTCTGCATTGATGACATATGTATCTTCCTGTCCTTTCTGAAAGTTATTGCGATACCATTTTTCCAAAGTAACTGGTTGTGTTCTTCCCTTAGTCCCTAGAAACAAATTTGTTCTTTAGCTCAAGCACTTCAATGTGACCTTTTTTTTTTTTTCTAAGAACACTTAAGATGTGAAGAAGCTAAAATAACCTGCCCGAAGTAAACTGACTCGTCTTTGACCACGACGACTCAGAATGTCCTGGTATAAGGACATTACACTGACATTTAAATTAAAGAAAAAAACCGTAAGGCAACTTCGTACGTTGTTTGACACAACTCATATCAATAACGGTCAACGCCTAACGGTGATACGCCCGTGTAAAATCCTATCAGCTGTAGTAGGGGTCTCAATGGGGTTAACCGTCAACCATTAAATGGTCAAAATATTAACCGTCAGCCGTCAAAAACGCAATATTTTTATCGTCAATCGTCAAATAAACAAGCCAATGTAAGCCGTCAAATGACTCAGATATCCTTAATTAATAACTAAACGATTGCCTTAATTGGGGTCAAGTTCTGTTGTTTATAAATGAAAATTTTGATATATCACAAAAATATATTTACATGTAAGTCTTTTAACTTCTTTGGAGGCGCGGTGGCCTCATGGTTGGTGCGCTGGACTCTGGATCGAATGGTCCGGGTTCGAGCCCCGGCCGGGACATTGTGTTGTGTTCTTAGGCAAGACACTTTACTCTCACAGTGCCTCTCTTCACCCAGGTGTATAAATGGGTACCGGCAATTTAATGCTGGGGGTAACCCTGCAATGGACTGGTATCCCATCCAGGGGGGAGTAGAAATACTCCTAGTCGCTTCATGCTACAGAAACTGGAGTTAAGCACCGGCCTAATGGGCCACTAGGCTCGTAAACAGACTTTACTTACTTACTTTAACTTCTAGTCGCGAGTAAAACTGGTCAGCGACAGAGCTGACTTCCGGTGTAGAAATACTTCCGGTGTCGTAAAACGTTAGTCACTTATTAATAATCGGTGTTATAAATTAACGGTTCTTTACAAACGCGTGAAATGAAAAATTACGGCCAAATCGCGCGTTTAGTTTGTTTTACAAACGATATTCCAAAAGATTAACCGTCAACTGTCAAATGACTTAAAATCTAATCGTCAAACGTCGAAAGGGCTTACTTTTAACCGTCAACGTGACCCCCTCCCCTATTGAGACCCTCCTATAGTGTTATCAGACATTACGCATAATGAGCTTCTGAATATAAGACTAAAGAGAAGAGTAATTTTGATGAAGAGTCATGCTTAAGACTACTTTGCAAACAATTAGGGCCGCCATGCTATCAATCGTAGCTTCCCAAGCCACCCGCAGACAAGTGCTAAGGTATTTTAAAATCACCCAGACCAGCAACACTGAGGAAGTTCCGTAAGGTTGAAAGACGAGAGATTTAAATTGTCCTGTATTTTAACTTGCGTGTTCTTATGCTATTGAGCACATATGCATATATATTTCATGGCTAAAAAAAAAAGGATTCAGAAGTAATGTTTTGGTTGCACTTGTGCTTGCGATGCGACGGAAAACGTAAAGCTACCATCATGTACATCAAAGATCTTTTTAACAATTTGGAAAGGCTTACCTGTAATAGTCAGATTAACTTTCGCGTCAGTTCCTGCTCCCTTACGGTTTCCAGTTTTCACCTTGATACAATAACTCATTTCGGATAGCAACTGTTCTCTCGATACTTTTTTACGAGGCTTGCTTGAACTCATCATGTTCGATGTGGGATAAATTTTAGACCCCAAATAAGCAATGGAATTGAAGTCGTAAATTGTGTTAGCAGGAGGAATGCCAAGCGATAGGGGACGATGCTCCAATGAATAACGAGTGCGCTCTGCTATCTGTATTGGCAACAATGACGTAAGAGTGACATCAGCAAGGTCCAACCAGGGATGTGTTTTTCCATCCCACGCTCTGGCAGCGTGCAAAATTAGATGTGAATCATCCGGTTTTATTTCGTGCAGTTGTATTTGAAGCTTGTAATTTACTTCCCCTTTAGCAATCTGATTCATGAATTCTGGGACTAAGTAACTCTCGGGTCGCTTTTCGTCTTCCCATCTGGCAGCCACCCTGAAATAAAAGAAGATTAATCGTGTGCTTTCTCGTGAAGAATTTATCTTTATTTCTCACCAAATGATCAACAGACCAAGAGTACAAGAGGCAAACAGACCAAAAGGCCATCGAAACAACGAAACAAGTCCCAGTTATTCACTTAATTTCTCTGATGCTTTGTCTGAGCGTTTGCACTTCTAAGCAAACCCATCAGCAATATCTCTGATTGTTTTAAGAAAAAATGTTAGTATATATCTGTCATCGGTAAATCGGGCTGGGGATAGTTGTTGTTGTTGGACACACAGCATCGCTCAACTCGGCTGGTGTCACTGCCATCTGAAACTGTTAAGCAATGGTCATATCCATGCACGACCACTAAAGGAAATTGTAAGATACAAAAAAAGAAAAAAAAAATTACCATGGTTTCCTTTGGTCGTATTCTGTCATCAAACCAGTCTCTTCCCTGCCATCAGCGGGAACGAGGCGAAATTTTGCGTAACGTGGTACACCATCTTTCGCTTTGTACTCAAACGCCATCCATGAGTAATACCGCTGGTCAGTAAATGAATCAGGAGCTCGTCGGAAAACTGCTATGGCTAAGTGGAAGCTGAGATAGAGAGGCAAAGTTATCAGCTAATCAGATACGATTTCGAGAGTTAATACCTGAAGGAATCGTGTAAATTTTGTAGAGCGCAGTCCGACTTTTTCTGCACGTTTGAGTAAGCATAATTTCGTTTTCACTCTCCCTTCAAATTGATAACTTGTCCCCTGATTTTATATCGTATCAAAATCAATATTTTCTACTCTAAAAATGTTAGAAAATAAAAATAGAATTAGGATAAAAAAAAAAAAGCTCCAAGCATTCTCTGTCTAATATGTAATTCAATTAAAAAAGAAAGCTTATGGACTTACTGCCACGGGTCCTCCAAGCAGAAAGCTTTGAATGCCTTTGGACCCCCAGACAATCCTGTTAACATTCTATCAAAGCTAACAATGTTCCAAAAAGCAGCCTCTTCGCCCGTATGCATCATTAAATCAAACGGCGAGTCGAAGTCATCGTCAGCAAACTTCAGAGACACCGCCCTTACATCCAATTGAGTGTCATCCGTACGCACAAGATTGGAGTGGCGGAGGCGGACTGGGAATACGTGCCCTACTTTGAAGAATTCGTGTTCGGGAAGAAGTGGATTGTCTACCACTGTTGCTGTCCCTATGGCTCCAACACCTTTAGCGTGGGTCCCACGTTGACGAGTAATAAGAGTTTTTAAGGCGAAACGGGTCTTGTACTTTTTTACGTATCGAGCCATTTGTGATGCACTGAGGGGCCCGGGTTCAGGTGGAGGCTAAAAAAAACAAATACGGAAACAATAAATTGATCAATAAAAGTTGCGATTTATTGCCGTATAATACTAAAGAAACAGCCCTTTGTCTTCTGTGAGGAAGCAGTCTGCAAATAAATTAACGCAACAGATTATAGTCTGTTGATTAACGCTGATAGCTTGATTTTCAAGAGGTCACATGCTGCACGGGCATATCTCTTGGATATCTTTCTCAAGAAAAATTATTATTTTCTTTAGTTTATTTGCCCCTGTTTGCCGTTCTCTTGTTAATTTTTCATTTCCTTTAGTTTTGTTACACCTTAGGCCAACACCTGATCTACTTTAAGCCAACACCGCCCAAACTCCTCGTTCTAGAATACGCTTTTACGTAAGAAAAATCCGAAAAAAGTCGAACTTTTGATTTTGAGAGAGCGGCCTCGGCTCAAACAAGAAGCACGTGGTCGGCAGGTGCCATGCAAGCCAACCTATCAGCGACGGAGCAGGGCCATTTCAGTTAATGTCACAGATTACAAAGAGGCAGACTGCACCTATTGGCTTTTGAAGATTTTTTTTTTATCAAGGGGTCCCAACATTTCAGTTTGTTTTACTGGGTTACTACCCTGGTGGGTTCACCTGAGGGTTCACCTTTAATTCATCAGAAATAGACATACCTCGTCGGCCTCTTTCATTTTCTTGAAATATAACTCATCTCCCAGTCTTTCTCGGTAAAGTTTAAATCCCATATTTTCCCCTGAGGATTCAAAACATAAAGTCATTATGAACTTAACCTCTCACATTCTCTGCTCCTAGAGGTCGCTGGAATATTCATCATTCTCGTCGACTCACAAACATTTTTCTAAGTCCATAAATTTGATCGCTTTTTCAGGATTGTGCCAAGTCTCTCTTCCGATTCTTACGGTGGTTGGAAAGACAGAGACCCCCTGACCACCAGTATGGACGAGCCTGAAGCAAGAAGACCCGCTGTTTTAAAAGACTACATACTTCTCTCCCGTCCATAAACACAGACAAACTATCAGCTTAATTGATTACTTTTAAAAGTTGTATATTTGGGGTAAGTGACTTAATTGTACTCACAGTCGGCAAGTTCTTCTCTGCTTCCAACAATTGATTTTTTTGTGAAACCGGGTAACACTTTTAATTTCTTTGAATTTGTTCCTCCCATCTTTTAGCCGCAAATTAAAGATACTGAAAGTAAAAGAAAAGACAAAAGCAATGAAAACGGTCTCTACCTGGAAAAATCCTTCACGTATCTAATGTCCGGATAAATTTGAAAAAGAAAACGCTGCCTTAGCCAGGATAGACATGACCATTAGTTTTAAAATTTTCGAAAGGTTTTTTTTCGAGAGAAGTCGCCGAAAACTGGGAGAATGAAACGAAATTGAGAAAATAGTATCGTGGAACGAAGAGCTGTAGGAGAGGAACTGGAAAACTATGAACCGGAGAGCAACAGGGGCACTGGAAAACGGAAAATTAGGAACGGTACAGGGAATGAATGGAGTACGGGGAAACGATAAGGACAACTTGAAACAGGTTAAGGATTCTTTCGATAAAATCTCTCGAGCCTGAACTTCAATTTTAACATCAACCTAAGCCGAAGTCCCAAACCTAATTCATGTTGTTAATATCAATCAAGTAGCATTCGGTCTTTGACCTAACGATTTTCCACGATAATGCAATTCAAGACTTTTCATGGGCTTAGCCATTATGGTATATATNAGAAGATTTGTTTAATATCTTGGGGGTGTTTTTCTTTTTTTAATAAAACAATTATTCCACTCGCCCTTGTTGGATATGAGATGATTATAGCCGACTCGGCGCTACGCGCCTCGTTCGCTATCTGTCATCTCATATCCAACGCGCGCTCGTGGAATAATTGTTAATTATGTTTATCTTTGTCCAGGCCCAACCGCGCATCACGCGCGTGACTTGATGTACGTGGGTTGCGTGGAATCCTAAATAAAGGGTGTAAAGGGTACTCAGGCAAGACTGAAATCCTCCATTTGAACTTTGATTGAAGATGCAAGACTTGTAAAATTTTAATGTAAAGCATCATAGGCTACGTCCTCTCCATTGTGCCGGATCTGAAGGTTCGTGTCACCTAAGAGGGCTCTCTCTTTTCTTAATCACGTATCATGTTTGCGTTTCCGTTGTGTCCTCACGTAAAGGCAACAGCAGGTCACAATGTTGAAAATTTTTATCGTAATATGAGGATAGCTGCGAGGCTAGTGAGGGTAAAAATAAATCCGCGGAAAGAGCTTTCATTCTCTTCAGTGCAATCTGTAGTCATTTAGCACGCTTACAAGATAATTTAAAATTTGTAAGAAATGCTTGGCATTTCCAAGTTGATTGTTTCAAATACGATGGACAAAAGTATTTGAACAATCGCGAGTTTACGAACTTATTAGCTCTTAATTTCTCTCTTTAAATGATAAACATCTAACGGCAAGGGTTTGCCCTCGACAGCTTCATTTACCCACTCTTCAGTGACATAAACTCACTTCGCATTTTTCGAAGAATTTTGATGTGTCGACCGACAAAATAAATTAGCTGCCATAAATACTCTTGTTCATATTTATGACAGCTAATTGTTTCATTTCATCATATAAGAAGCGAAAGCCCCATAGGGACGCATAAATAAACAACTTCTTTGTATGCTCAGACTTCTTGTAAATAAGGTCAATTTTACTGGCGCAAGAAATCATCGATTGATTGTTTACCATATTCTTGCGAGAAAGTGAAAAACTTCCGTCACGCTTTGGGCCCTGCAACATCATGTGTATTGGTGCATGAACTGAACGCATCAGCACATCGATCAGCATTTACCAAGCTTGCCATGTATTGTGATGTATTCGAATAAAATATTTCATGAGAATTAGATGACTCGCCATCGAATCACAACTGCCCAGGGTGAAACGTAGTAGAAAAACCACTAGCTTTCATCGTCGCGATACAATCTATCGTCTCAGCAAGGCTTCAGAAAAGATACGTTTGGCCGCAGTTGACACGAAAGCTAAAGGATGGCTGTTTGACTCGACTGTGATTAAGTTTTAATGCAATTTATGACCTAATTTATGTTGTACATTCCTACCTCAATTGCCTCGGTGTCGATTTATACAGCTGCTTCTGTTCTGACAGTGAAATTAGTGCTATAGGACCTTCTTATGTCTATCGCGTGCGTCGTTTGTTATGTAAGCTCGATGACGTCAAACACTGATAACGCTTTCAGCTTTCCGGCCCATCGTCGCCAAAAGAGTTCTGGGGCTTTATTTATAGTTAGTGATTCTCGTCCAATAATTCAAGACGGGTAATTAATCGACGTTCCTCTTCTACGTTGTTCTGAAGATGAGTTATTTAAAGCTATCGAGGTCACTCACTAAAACAAAGGAAAAATGAAGCCCATTTGTGAATGTTCACTGAAGCGATTATTGTAGTTTAGTCAATATTTGTTAAACGATAAGTGCACTAAGCTATTTTCACTGTGAGGAATTAGAAATCACGTCTTTACAAACAAGTTCAGAGATGAAGTCACCCTTCCCGGTGATGATACCTTTATTCAGCGTGGCCGAAGGGATTTGGTGCCGTCTTTGAAGAATTCATGTTGTTTTCGTCACGAGATATCAAATGTGTTTTTTTTCTTCACCAAAATTGCTAACATCGAAGTTCAATGGTATTGTCACTGTTGCGGGAGCGCTTGATCATTAAATGACGCCGTCTGTTGGGACGGCCGAACAGAACACTCAATGCCAGAATTAATACTTGAATCGGTCGTGTCAGAGTCAGTTATTAGGGACTTTAAGCAAACCACGACGGTGACGGCAACGAGAACGTGGAAAAACAATAGATCTAATTGGCAGAACAATGCCCAGTACGTGCGTTTTAAAATTGTACATTTCTTAGCCGTCCTTTGCAAAACAACAACGTGAAATCACCAAAATTTGCGTCGTCTGCGAAGCGAAACCGAGGCGGCAAATTATTTTAATTTACATTTGGAACTCAACGCTGCTTTTTATGCGTTATGTTGAGTTTGAGGTCTGGCGCCCTATGAAACGGTGAACACACGCAGCCATTTTCGAAATTCTAACTAAACGTAGAAACTCATATTTTAATCGACGTCTTCCGTAGCGTTGCCGTCCTGACTGCTAAATTAAAGTCCCGATTGTTCAGCAGTCGAAGAGGTCGGACAAAAAACAGTACGTTTAGTGTCTGCGTTTTCGTATTTGAATTTGTAATAGTTAAAGAATTTATCGTCGAAACAGTCACTGAAAGTGGCATTTCAGGGAAGTAAACACTTGAGAGGTAAGAGTGAAAAGTTAAGAGAGGAACCTTCAAGAATCACGTAGCGATTCAGTGTTTATTTATTTTTTTTTTTTACCAAATATGGTTTGTGAACACCGTTTATGATGTTTCTTCACTGGGAAATTACCGGCCGTGGGGCAGTCATCATCTGTTTCCTGGGGAAGATACCGTGTGTGGGGCAGGAACTACAATTTACTCATTGTGCGACTTAGAGATCAAAGTAACTTCCGAAAGAAATGCAAAAAAAAGGAAATTCTTACGGTGAAGTTCAATTAGTTCCATGCTCTATGCTCTACAGGATCATTAAAGTAGAGTAAACGCATTATTCGATCCAGCTAACATCAAAGGTATGATTTAATTAAAAGTAACAGCTCAAAAACTTGCTTTTTACTGACGTTATTTGGCGTCAACCGGAAGAAGACCAACTAAGGGTAACCCGGAAACACCGTAAAAAAATTCCATGGTGTAAGAATTTTTCATGAGGTAAAAACAATTAATATCAACAAAAATCTGAACAGTAAAGCACAGGTAGCAAGAGCTTTATTACATCATCCAATCGTTGGATTATAAAAACCTATGAGCTGACAAGAATTTTTCTGTCTATGTGTTTATGTCAGTTATTGAGGTAATGGGAAAACGATCGGAAATAAGATATTATCGTAAGCCATTCGGCAAAACTATGAAAGTTTGTTGATTATCTATTATTCTCTTAACGGCCTTACCTTTCAAGTGGGGTATTTTGATTTTAACACATCGCGTTCACTCTTCTATTCTTCAGGTTGACTGTAGAGTATGTATAAGCAACTTGTAGTTTCATCTTCTGCACGAAATTTATTGATACATCAGATACCCATCTCTAAGCGAGTTTACCCATATGAGCAATAGCCTGTTATTGGCGCAATAAAATGCTCAGGTATTTGTCCGTAAATAATATCTTTTCCGAGAAGTGAACAGTTTTCGAGAACCATGCTTGAGAAAAGAATTGAGCTAATGTATGACCGTCTTTGCAAGTTAAATATATGGTATGAAATAATTTCCCTTTTTTAACGTGTGGGACCAATATCAACAAACAGCTTTGCGCTATCCAAACGTCACGATCTACAACAGAAGTGTCGTCATTTTGAATGAGAAACCTTAATACTTTATTAGTATAACCTGTCCCTTGTTAATTTTGTTTCTCGCCTAATAACTGACTTTTATCTTCTATTAGTTGTATCCCCTATTAGTTGAAAAAAAAAAATCCCATTAATTAAGTTATTTGGGGAACGAAAAGATAAGCTCTAACTAAGAATGAATGTCCAACATTTTTTCCATGCGCACAATCTTTGTAAAAAAAATTCAAGTCGTGCTTAATGGTGAATCCAATAGGTGACCAATACGCATGAACGAGTAGCTTCACGCTGCGCGATTCATCGTATTCGACTAAAATGTGTCATAGGGAAGATATTACTCGTTATTGAATGTTTACTGTAATAGTTTAAACGGGGGAGATGACACCCTAACTACCATTGTCCCGTACAAAGGAGATGGCTGCAGTTCGCTCGAAAAAGCTAAGCATAACTGTTCTCGTTAAAGGAGAGAGCTTCGATACCACTTATGTAAGATCAATAACCTAAAATTTGACATTTCATAGGCAATATGTGGTATAATCATAACTTTGTATACCTACCTTAGTTTCCACAGGGTTCGCTCTATTGCCTTAAATGGTTGACACGTTAAATGCGTGTTTTAAGTGCGTTGTGATGTTCATCGCGATAATTGTAAAACTATGCGCGCGATTACATATTCTGCATCACGTCACTACTAACGTAAGAGTCAAGTCAGCGTCCCCGGGGATAATTTATGACGTAGTCAAGGAAGCGATGCCAGTTGCGTTACGATATATCGAGTTATTTTTGTTTGAACAATTGAATAACATTTTGATAAAATCTTTAGAGAAAACTAGTTTGTTACGGTGGAAAACTTAGAACAAATTGGAGTATACCGTCGCACAGTGGTCCAATACCTTATAATCCTGCGAGCGATAGTGTCTCGTGAATTTCAATGCCCGGCGTCCAGTGCTGGCTGATTGGTTGATTTGATAAATCAGTCGTGGACCACCGTATCCTTTTACGTGCGCGGTTTCACAGAAGCAAACAGAACTAGCGGACATTGGTAATTCCAGCCGTTAAAGTTGGCGATAAGTTTTCGGTCGAAACTTTCCTTTAGGGTGCAGATATCCCAGCTGTATTATCATAAGTGTGCAAGGGACACAATATCAAACAGTTTGGGTCGTTTATCCATTGACAACCTCTATCAAAGACCACATCGAAGGAGTAAAATGCGTGGCAATTTTGGAGTATTTTTGGACAGGCAACAACAGGTAGCAGACTTGAATAAAATGATCTCACCCTGCGAACTCCGCCGAAGTTCAAATAGAAACTGAGGTGAGGGTTTGAGTCTTGGTCAGGTAATGGTGTTGTCCTCGCGGGCAGAACCCTTTTTCTCTTCAACTGCTTCTTTCCGCCAATATAGTACCACTAAACATTAAACATAGAAACCTGAAAACATTCTTGGATAAACTAAATGAACTTCCTCCATCAATATGCTTGCTGAATACTAACTCAGTTAAATAGTTTGCCCATCCGTTGCTCGAGAAAATTTTTTCCTTTTGTTAATTTCATTCTTACTTTTAGAAACGGACACTTCATTTACAGTAATTTGCTATGTGTACATACGAGAACCCAATGACACTAAAATTTGAGCAACTCTTTTAATACCTCTAATCAAAAGGTGATTTCAGATACCTTATCAAGATTGATACATAAGAACACCTAAATTAACTTAAAAAAAAAAAAAAACAGGAAACAGAAGCAAAAGCAGAAAGGAACTTGAAAATCGAAGGAAAATATAAAACAAACAATTAAAAAAAATTACCGTACAAAGGTTCATGCTCAGCCGTTATAAAATTTAAATGTTATGTATATTTTCACAGTTAATCTGGGGCTGCCTCATTTTCATAAGTAACTCCACTTGCACCGCTAAAATCATTCATGTAATGTTTCCTTGTATAGGAGGAGCGAAAGTTTGGACTTAGAGGTTCTACCATAAGACTTTCCGTTTATCACTAGATTTGTTTATTGACAGCTGTTTTTCCCAACCGAGGAGGAGTTACGATCCTGTTACTTTTGCCTTATTCGTTTTATCATAAATGTCATCAAAACATCGCAAGACCAACTATTATGATTTCTTTAGGAATGGATAGTCTTTAGCTATTTTATCCCAAAATGAATTCAATGCTTTCATTAATAGAGAAAATGCAGTTCTAGACGCTTTTGATTCCCAAGGTGCTTTGCGACATACGCACTCTTTTCCAGTACAACTGGGGTCACAAACAGTTCCTTTAGGACAGCAATGCCAGCTATCCCCTCAATCCATTGCATCCTTTAACATACAACAGCCAATGAAAGAATTGGAAAAATTGTTAAGGCAGCAGGTTGTGTTGCTAGGGCAACCTGTCAGGTTGCGCATGTTTCTCCCTTTCTTTTCCGTCTTTGGTAAACAATATTGGGAACCAGGAGGAGCATCTTTTTGCCTCTGATCTGTCGACATTAAAATGATTATTCAGTCACAGTACGTTTATTTTTGGTTATCTGATATCCCGATGCTCCAATGAGGAGCACGCGGTCTAAATACTTACGTGCCAGCTTTTCATAGGATTGCTTTTAAGCATGGTGATAATTTTATCGATCATAAAACCAATATGTTCGTGAGGAAAATTCGATGGCGATCATTTTGTAATTGACAGACTTACAAGGTGTGGCGTGAGTAACTTGTACGATGCGAACTCGAAATGCCTGAAACCTCTGTAAGCCGGAGAACGACTATATGCATGAAGATCGTTAATTAATGCGGGCAGCGTAAGCAGTGATGAAAGCCTTCATTGGAGTATAATGGAATGAAGTGAAGTACAGTGACTACGATACCTTTTTCCTTTCTTCTCTTTGTTCGCTTTAACAAAGACTTGAATCCTCGACTGACCTTTTTAGCCAGTAAAAAGTACCCTTTACCACTGAGATGCTAGAAAGACAAGAGGTCTTTTTTAAATGTCACTAAGTTGTTAAGATTTCTCAATGAAATGCCTCTTTCCACAGGTATTGCACTTACAAAGGTAATTGGGGGCTATTCACTGCAAAAAGGCACCACTGAAAAAATGGGACCAACTTGCAATTCTGATTAGTTTATCGAGCTTGTATTTGAGCAGACCCTAACCTATTCTGCACATCTTTATTGAATCTAATCAACCCTGAAGGGACTTGTGACTTGTAGACCAGTAGTAAGTTTAGTTCGGCCGTCTTGGATGTTGTGTTGCCAAACTCGTTCGTTGGACTTTGTATTATTAGGACAGTGTACGCTTGTTATCGTAATTTCGGTGCCCTATGCTGTTTAGTCTCTCGTTTAAATTACTTAGTGTTTTTGGCGTCCTATAGAATTGTTGCATCGTTGTCATTAAAACACACCGTCGTACATCGAGGAGTTTGCTTCAATCCCTTCGAAGTTGTTTGAAAACAAAAAAATACATATATAAAGTATATGTACACTGCCGCCCATTCGCATCACTTACTACATTTGGCTGATCCTTAAATAGATTGCATTTTTTGGTAGATCCACCGCATGGTTTGCTCAAAGCGTCGTAAAGGTCTATTACTTTAATGGATTTATCATCCTTCATTACTCTGTAAGGTCAAGAAAGAAAATATAGTTTGTGAACAATCCCCTCAGTTGTCTCTGCGAAAGAATTAAAATATCATCGCAAATTTAATGTCACCCTCCGAGGAAATGATTTACCCTCGCCAGCTCGTTCTGCATATCGTCTGACGTTTATCATACTCACTAACCGTACTTCTAACATACAAAACGGGAATATTTGTTTGTCTTAGTGCCAAAAACACGAGCTTTTTTCAACTGACTTACTGTTTTGCAGCTTTGTTGTACTGTTTAAGCCTCTCGTCCATCTTTTTGCTAAATGGTACGGGCGTAGAAGTCGCAAAACCAACCGTAGCGCCTGTTTTTAATAAAGCCGACTTGATTTTCTTCAAATTTCTACGGTATTCTTTGAGAGGGACATACTTCAAAAAAAAAAAAAGATACCGAGGTTCTTTAGTTCCTTACAACTAAACTTACCAACCTAATTAATAAACCGAGTAATTTTGTAATGCCACCTGTTTTTGTTGCTGCTGTTGTTATCATTATTTTAGTCGTAATTGACATCTTTTTGTATAGCAAAGGAGGTGAACACTACTACGCAACTTTCAAAAACAACTTAAGCACCATGAACGACTCACTGACGTATTATCAAAAAGTAATTTGGATGAAATATCGTCGTTCGATAAATTTTCACCCACTAAATTGTTTCCGGTACTTCAGCAAGGTATTAAGCGTTGAAACTACAAAACATGTTAAATGATTATGCGTTATTGACCAAGCGTGAGGTCAAGATGGCTGGATATTGGTCAATGAAGGATCTATTACATAGTAAAAATTTTTCGCTTTTAATAAGAATCAAGGATCAATTGCTTCTTTCGAGGGCCAGGAAGAAAAGCCAACCGTGTTTGTAGCACAATAAACCCAACAGGGTCGTTTAATTTTTTCTTAGTCTTGACCGTTTTCTTCCGCTTTTGTGACCTCGTTGCCGACATAGTCCAAAAGTTACGAACTGTTTAAGTCTGCGCCAGCACTTTTTTTCTTGCGCGGGATCAATGCGGGCCATCTAGTGTGGCAAGATGGGCCCATCTAGCCCGCACGGGTAGCTAATCGGAAAACAGGATTCGCTTCATCTTGCGCACGGACGCTGCGCTCTATAATGACTACTCTTATTGTACCGCTTTTCTCAATTAATATGGTACATTTCATAACATAAGTGCCATGAATACCAAAATAACAAAAACAACAACAACACCAACAATCTCCTTTTCAGACTATCGATTTGGTAAAACTAGGCGGTATCTTGCTAACCTCGTTATGATAATCGAATGGGTCAATATCATGAACTCCAGCATTAAATATTATGACGTCATACTGAACAGGTTCATAGAAACTCGAGGAAAGAAACATGGGTAAACATTGAAGCATATAGCGCGTGTCCAAGCTTCCTCCGTCACCAGCCCATGGAGCGTGATAGACAGTACAGTCTCCATCGAGCAATTCAACAACATAATCCATATAGCTACAAGAGGAAAACGACAAAGAATAAATTGAAGCTAACACTACGGTTTCCTTTTGCTCGTATTAAATCTAACTGCACGATTATGATTTAGTTCTTCAGTATTAACCGAGCGGGAGGTCTGTATGGGAGAATCTTGACCAAGGTCGCCAGTACAGACCGAACGCAGTGAGGTCTGTACCAGCGACCGAGGTCAAGATTCTCCCGTACAGACCGACCTAGCTCGCTTAATAAGATGTTTATTATATGGCTGTGTCTTATATGCCAATTTTTTATATTCTTTATACCTTTTTTTTTTAGACCGGTCTAGATCCTGGTCTAGATGAGAAAATCTAGACCGCCTTCAATATTGATTTCAGCCAATGAAATTCGTGAATTCGGTAGTTCCCAGTCCTTGTGAGACACAGCCATATAATAAAAGAGAATCCGAACTCTTCTCTCAATTCTCGTCCACCAATGCCCTATGTCATTTTCTGTGCAGAAGCTTACGGTGGAAGTTAAGAAATCAAACATCGCTTCCAGGGGGGAAATTTCCGTAGGATGTGACTCCTCGACGGTCATTAAAATGAGAATAGGCGATATCTACTTTCCTCAGCCAAAAAAAGCAAAGGTTAAGCTCCACCCTGTTTCCCTACCAAGTGCCTCTTAGTGAAAGATAAATCAGTTGTGACATCATCTAAGAAATCTTCAGTCTCGCTCTTTCTCGAATTTTTTATTTTGTCGAAATTCACTGGCTAATTTTGTATGCGAAAGGGGAACTAACTCATAGCATCCTGAAACTCTCCTGATTCATGCTTGCTTGAGTTAGCAAGGTTCACCCATCGGAAAATTACTCGTGAGAAAATGAATGATTTTCCTTTCTCAGTCGATTCAATTCTTCCAACTGCAACTCAACCTGTACACGATCTGTTTAAAGTTTGTAAAAAAAAATAGTAGTCAACTAAAGAAATCCGACATTTCTTTGAATTTGAGGAGCCTATAATGAGCGTGTTGCATTTTCATCAAAAGAAGCATTCGAACCGAAGAAAGGAAGGGCCAGATACTTTCATCGTAGCAGCTTCTACCAATCTTATTAAGGAAGTGGGTAACTCATTCCATTTTATATCAAAATGTTACAAAATAACGTTTTTCTGTAAAGTAATTATCTAGTCTCAGCCACTAATTGATTGGAAACCGTTAATTTAAACGTACCCTAAACTGATCGAGTCACCCATGATAAGACATTTCTTATCCGCTGTCTCCTGAGATTTGCTTTTCCAATGTATGGGACCTGGGCGACATATTCTCTCCGCAATAGTGACATTTGAGGGTATGGAATCTAGAAGTCTTAAATAACATGAATTGGTAAAAGTGAGACGCGTTGAAGCGGAGAGGATATCCGGGGTGGCTGTAACAATACTGATTTATCATTGAATCGCATCATTGAATAAAATCTCGCATTCTGATTGGTTAACGAAGCGAGGCATGCATTTAGCGTGGAATTGCGAGTTGAAAACTAGGCTAAGTGATATTGTTTCGCATTCAATTAATGCTGTTTCCTTTTTTTCTCATTTTTATTCAGTTATTCGATTCAAGGAAAATCCATTATTTCACTCGTGAATTCCGCATTAAATTACACTTGAAAACGGATATCACACTCATCACTTCGCGATTCGTGCGATATCTGTTTTCGCGTGCAATTCATTGCGAAATTCCCTCGTCAAGTAATGAATTTTCCTATAGAATCAACTTGGCAAACATTTACGCATTTAATCAGCCTTTTGCTTTGTTTGAATACTTATTTTTCTTGGCCTTCAGCTGTTGAATAGCTCCAATAAATCGTTTGAGACCTTCAGGGAACGCTTCTTGTAGTGAAAAAGGTTTTAGTTCTAACTGTTACCATATCAACATCTCTCTTTTATCTTGATGCAATTTCAACTTCTGATCAGTCTATTTGAAACCTTGAATTTAAAACAAAAATGCAAGCACAAAAGGCGACTGATGCAATCAAAAAAATTCCTAGCATCTTGTTTTATTTTATTTTTATTTTATTGTATTTTATTAGCTCGCCGACCGGCAGGGACACCGCAACAGCTTGCGCCAATTACAGCGGGCCCAGTAAACCCACCCAACCCACCCCAGAGGAGGACATCCATG